AAGGAGGATTGAACCAAGTTGTCAATCGCTGGATTATTAACCCCTGGAACTAAGGACATCGTTCGAATAAGAAGTTTCAATTACAAAGCATTCTCAACACTAATAACAGATGATGCGTGTGTAACGCTTAATTTCTTTTTCCAGGATCAGTATTCCCCACCATATTTAGTAAGTATTTTGCACCGAGTGCTAGCTATCTCCCCTACCAAATCTGTAAATGAACAAATATATACAGTATCTGAAGAAGACGGACTCGAATAAGACACGAATCATGTTTAAACCAAATATTAATATGATGTCTGAGACCGTGAAACCATCTTATATGAAGCCGAAGCTCTCGTACAGTACCATTCTATGCAAAGGTCAATGATAATAAGATGGACGAACTGGCAGATCCACACTCGAGGGCGTGGCGAAATTTAGCATACCACCTCTTGTTGGAGGGGAAGACGCTGCAGTAGTAGGTAATCAACCGCAATTAGCCGTTAGTCTCACTCAAGCCGTTACAAGCGTGTCTTGGGGTGGAGCTATACCATGCAAATTGGCCGTGATGATCGCATTGCCTAGAGTATTCCATTTCCAGGCCACGGTTTGCGGAGAGCGATCCGACACTCATAATTGAGTACCACGTTACTAATGTGAGTGCAGTTATAACAGCCGGGTTTCGTGTCATGCCATATCTATGGGAGTCATCGATGAATATTGGGGGCAGGCATATTTTTAGGCGCGTTCTCTATCCATATGGTGTTTCTTTCCTGCTGCCAGCATTTGTAATCACACTAGTCAAAGAAAGTTTCGGTTATGATGCGTATGAAAACTGCGCTTAATACATGACGCACGATATCCATTTTTACATTCTACACGGCATCAATCCGCATTCTTTGTGGTAAGCGGACTAGTCTTTAAAATGGAATTCTTTTCTAGAACCTCACCGCTCGTTCTCTGTTTTCTTTTCTTGATCTGGGGACACTTGTAGATAACCCTAGCGTTTCTTTTTTCAGTAATATTCAACAAGACCGTACAACTTCTATTGACGATATATCTACTCCAGTAGTCGTAACAGTAAAGCCCGTATCCACTATCTGTGCAACAAATGATCGTTTTGTTCGTTAGAGGCTTCTCACTAAAAGAGATTTATCTTACTTTGCCTATATCATTTAGAAAGCAAAACGTGATTAGAGTATGTATACACACACACATACACAAAATAAAACATTCACATACAGAAGATCTTGTGGGCTTAGGCGGTGGAATTTATGCGTCGTCGAAGAGACGATGAGAATCCAAGGAGATCCAAACCGTCATCTGCTGTCGAAATGACTTGCCGACTTTACTACTTGTTGAGGAGTGGGTTGGGTTGGAGATTGGATGTAAATTGTCGAATTCCAAATCAAATCAACTGGCGTTCGGCGAAATAGAGAGCTTATGTGAATAAAAGCATGGCTTAGAATTTCTATACTTCATAGAACGGATGCAAAACATGATGCATCATAGTGTGTGGAACTCACAGCTGGACGATATATTTGTTGTTTGATCCAGCGATAGACCTGGGAGCAAGTCTAGATCCCACAAGTTACCTTTCATTGATTGTGGTTGGGGAGTTTTTCCATTGCAAACAAGCATTGGGGTTAGGAACCTAATAATACCTTCGTGCGGATCAATACGTGTACACTTACAATTTACTAAGAGTCTGTTTTTCGAGGCTAAGTTTTGACATTCGACATTCCATAGATATCCCCAGGCAAATCAAGATTGCCCTTTTTCTTTATTGTATTGGGTCAAGGACACGGCTTATAGTGTAATTATATGAAGGTGCACACGCTCTCGGAGAATTCAAAGAGCCTTCTGTTTACAAGAGTGAAACTCCAAATCAAATCGTCAATGTTGTGGTCAGGAAGCGATTATATTCTGTCTCTTTTGGCGATTGATCAATTGTCGCATCGGTCGTGTGTATCAATGACCCACCACTTTGTTTGTTTCAGTGTATTGTCTATAAATAAATTTCGATGGCTTGGAGCCCTTCATGTAACATATCGATCTTTTTAAGTGCAAAGTTGTATGTTACTAATTGGCATCAAATCAACTTACTAACGTCCATTGTAAGTCAATCTCTCAAAAATAATTGCTATAACGGTGGATGACAAAATCTGTCACTGAACGAATGAGTGAGTTTTCCGATCTAATACAGAAATTTTTATCAATGCCAAATTTTCTTTTACATTAATGCCTGTGTGTGATAGTGAGTCGATCTGACTTCTAAGCACCCGTTCAACTATGCAAAAATATACAACCACAGTATCAATTTCTCTCTAATAAACACTCCCAAATCGTATCACATCCATCCTCTTATTTACAAAGCTTGCTTAAATTCAGCAAGACACGAATCATCGTAAAACTATAATGACACGATGACAAACTACGTAGTTTGTAATATGAATAGTAATATGAATAGTAATATGAATAATAATAATGACAACCAAAGAAGAAATCCGATTAAATAAAAGCGCACAGAACGTTCAATGCGCCTAAGAGCTTTTTCAGCTTCACTGACCTCTGCAAGGACATGTTCATAGTCTTTTATAAAATAAGTAAAAGTGAATTCCATGTCTGAACAAACCGGCTGGTACTTAGAAACACACGTTAATATGATCATTGCAATTTACCTCGCTCTCTCGCCTGCCTCAACCTCTCCACCAAATTGGTTTGAGGTCGATACCCCCTCACTTTATCGACAAACTCTGTCGGACGGGCGATGAGGATATTATACCTCGATTCTTGCCAACCGTAGGCATCAGTGGGGAGCGAAGGGCCTACGATGATGCCCACGGTATAGAATGGAGAGCTCTCTGAGAGTTCTTCCTCCATTTCACGAAATTCGTTGGGGTCTATTGTAGTAAACATATTTAATTTTCCATATTATTCTATATTTATATTCATAACAATCATACTTACCCATCGAATTCGTGATTATACATTTGACGGCATATCTAAAACCACCATGGAAAAATGTGAAGTCGATCCTGTCTTCTTCCATGAAACTAATAAAAGTAAAGAAATACGAGTAACTGTATTATCCATTATGGTCAAGAACGTTCACAGCAGGCCGTCCAAGGCCTGGGATACCTGATTGCCCACGATGCGCTTTCACTTCTCCAATCGTAGTGCAGCATAACTTCGGATATATTATTAACCACTCAACAAGTACTCAAAGAAGTCTTACCTTCTAAAGATCTGGTTACTCAACTCCTCCAGCACAAGTGCTGTGATTTCTTCTACAAATTGTTCTTTCCTTTCGTCGATCGCCATTCCTTCAAATAAGACAGATTCCAATGGGAGAAGATAATCGAGTATTTATTGCGCTTTTTTCCCGCTTTACCGCGTCATTCCGTCATCACGGTAAAAGCGGCGGATAAATATAGAAAAGGGGTCGATTATGGGAACAATACTCAAACTCATCTCAATCTATAATCCACGTAAACTAACTAAAGGTCGCCTTAATCCTCGTTGTGCGAGGCGCAAAATCGTACTTAGGGTGCTCATCAGCTACCTCCCCTATCTCAAAGTTGCCAAAATTAGCAATCACTGTAGGAGAGGAAATAATAATTTACATCGTATCACAGGAGAGCAGGTAATAATCGATACTAGGAATTTAGCTAGTTTCGGCAGAGCGTGGCGTCTCCTTCTCTAGGTAAACCTCGGGTTACAGTTAGTGACCTTGTCAAATCAAGGCTTTGCACTCACGAAAACCTTCACGTCGTAGAGTGACACTAATCCTGGATATATTAATTGTACTCGAGTAACTCTGTCGGCTCCTAAGATGGGTTTAATTATTAGTCTACCGTTGGGGTACAATAGTATTTTAATTATAATAGTGCGCATCTACACAACAATTAATTATCGCAATTTGCCACTCGAATAATCGCGGGACAAGAGGCTATTATTCGTCATCGATATATATACCGATAAGGAATGAATCATTAACAATGTATTTCAGAGTATAAAGAACTACTCATTTATTTACAATAAAGGAATCGGAAGTAATTAGAACATTCTAAGCATTCCATCTAACTGAAATCTACGCTACCTATATTAATATACCTTTCGAGCGGACTAATTTAGCTGCTATTTACTAATTATCTAAGCTATTGTCATCCGTATATGTTTACTTTTACAGCAATGGATGCTGGTGATGTGACGATACTTGTACCATGCGCTGGTGTTACTGCACCGTCGGAGTATTCACAATTTACATCCCCCAACATAGGGGAGGTACCATAAATAGTAATTGACAGCAATCATACTATTCTATGACATGACATGTATAATGAGAGCACCCCCAAATTATAATTTCGCGGTGTTACAGTCCCGGAAAAAATACTGGCGGTAGAACCTTCTCAGAAAGTGTCGCGCAAGATATACAAAACTCGGCTGAAGCAAAAGTTGCACTACTAGGAAAAAGCATCTAAATCTAAATGTTACTGAATGGACTGTCTCAAGAGTACGTTCCCTTCTTAGACTCAAATTGGTGTGTGATTATCAGTATTAGTATTTTTGATGAACAATTATGCAATTGTTTGGCAACACATGTCTTATAAGGCTTGTACTATCCTTAATAATTATACTATTATTATAAACTAACACTGTTTATATTTGGGATGACTAAATCAAATTATGACGTATTCCTCCCTAATTTCTGCGTAGCAGGAAGACAAAATATTGCATAATCTATAAATAGGGGAAAAAAGGCAACACACATGCGCTGATAAAATTAGAGAATGTACATCTCGATTATATATACAAGAAGCGCGACTTTCCAATAGAATTCATCTTATTCGATCGTGTTCACGTTCTTTTAATGATCAAATTAATGTTCCTTTCTAGTAAACGAGTAGTTTTTTATACTCTGAAAATGATTTGTTTTCTGGTAATTATCGATATAATTGTGAAACCGCTAATTCCTATATCATTACGATTGTTATTCACTTAAGATGAGACGTACAGCCCCCTCCCATAAATGACTGAGTAACACAAAATTTCGTAAATTATATGTCGAATTCGCACGCATGTAAC